TCTAGTTACCTATTATCTTTAAAGAAGTGGATATAGGATAACAAATTGGTGGTGACTGTGAGATACAGACTCTACCTGTGAAATTTTGTGAAGAAAACGTCCAAATCGTAGAACGATTGGTACTAATTGAAGTCAATCAGTTTTGCTCCGTTTGAGCTGAAATTTTCAGAATACATCCGTTGGAACCTTCCGCAACGTTTGTTCTAAGTATATCATAAGACGAAAATGCCACTGGAACCCGTAAAACGTGTTGACGGCATTTTTCTTCTTTAAAGATCTGCAAAGCAAGAAAAGATCAGCACTAAGTAAAGTTATTCAATTTTGAACCAATCAAGCTGAGATATTGAGGGTATATTCGTTGATATATTCTGCAAATTTTGTACTAAGCTTATCTTAAGACGAAATCGTCATTGAAGATCGTAAATTGCAGTGACGGCATTTTTTCTCTTAAATCTCAAAATTTGATCAAAAACCCCTTTTTCATCACTACTATATATTATTTTTATTTTACTATATTTATACCCCATATCTTATTTCCTTTAAGTTACCACATATATATATAATATTTATAATGGTTGATAGTAAACAGAAACTAGATATTTACTATAATCCTTGGACTGATTTAGATTTTGATCAAATTGATCAAAAACCTATACCTAATGTTTTACCTATAGAAGAAAATCTACCAACTGAACAAGAAGCATTACAATCTATATTTACACAACCTGACAATACTGAAGATATAGATGATAGCCAAGACCCATGGGAAATAGTTGAAGAAACTGTAATTGCTTCTGGTTAAGCTCCAGGATATAATCTTGATGATAAAATATTTGACAAATAGAATCTTGATTCTTCAGATGAAGAGAGCCTCTATCCAATTTCTAGAAGGAACAAAGAACCTCCTACCTACCATATCAAGGATCTAATTGATATTAGATTGAATCAGATCCAACATTTATTAAAACTTAGAATTAATCATTCTAGATTAAAAAAAGTTTTGTTTATATTAGGTGATATACAGCACTTTTTATATCCTAATTTACCTCTTCCTCTTCAAAACTTAAATAAAGATTTCTACAAACTCTGTGAGGCTAAAACTAAGAAAGCTCAGGATAGACTACTTAAACAAGTTCAGAGAAAAGTTAAACTTTGCCAAAACATGAAAATTAAAGGATTTGTATTGACAGAAAAGTGTCTTTGTTAAAGAAATATATTTATTTTAGTTTTTATTTTTTTATTATTATTATATATATTATTATTTATTATTTTATTATTTTATTATTATTATTATTTAGTATCTTTAATTTTTTTTTAAAAAAAAAAAAAAAAACAAAAACATTTTATATATTAATTTAGTCTTTTTTTTTAGTTTGGTATTTTTAGTTAACTAAAATTATCCAAATTGATGTTCTTATTATTTTGTTAATTTGAACAAAAACTAACCATGTAGATATTTTATTAAAAAATAACAACAAAATTTGAAAAATAAAAACTTTGAAAGACAACAATATTTGAGATAGCAATAAGTCTTGTAATTAGCAATGGAATGCTATAGAATTGAAATTATTGGTTTTGGAAAATCTGTAAAATACGAATGTAGCCTAGTACTGGGTGGTCTAATAAGTATTGTACATGATATTAGTTTTGAAAAATCTGTAAGACACGAATATAGCCTAGTATTGGTGGGTCTAATAAGTACTGTGCATGATGTTAGTTTTGAAAAAATTTGTAAGACATGAATATAGCCTAGTACTGGTGGGTTTAATAAGTACTGTGCAAAAATTTGGACTATTTGAATAGAGTATATATCTTCATATCACTATACTTATTCTTATATTATAACAATCAATTGGGTCAAATGACTTTCAAGATATTGTTAAAAGATTTAACTATTCGAAATAGCAAATTAGAAGCTAATTACAATTCTTAGATAATGACCAAAATAATGACAACAAGAGAAAAGATAACAAATCAATTTGGACACATATAATTTATTTAGTTGAACAATTAAAATTTTATTTACAAAAAAAATTATTACATTGGAACTGGAATATCATCGATCAAATCATGCAAAGTCTCCACCTCAGCCCTTAAATCATTCCTCTCTCTCACCAACAATGCATAATCTCTATTCCTTTGTTGATTTGCCCGATTAATCTCCAAAATCTGCAAATCTCTATCATTTACTTCTCTCGTCAACCAAACTACTTCTCTTGCCATAAAGACTGCATTTTCTCTTAACTCAACTATCTGTGCCCTTAATGTTCTAACTTCATGCTGCAATCTACATAATAATTATTATTACTATTTTATTATTATTATTATTATATCATTATTATTATCTCTGAATTTCATTTTGAAGCACACCAATTGCTTTATACAAGGCAGCCTCACTATTTCTTCGTTGACGTTTGGTTGTTCGATATCTTTGCGGCATTTTCTTTATTTTACTTTTATTATTATTCTATCATTATTATTCTTATTACTAGTATTATTATCATTATTATTATAAATATATATATTATCTTTTGATACTTATGTTATTTTATCTTCTTTTCTTTTTTTTGTTTTTCTTTTGAGAATACTATTATCATATTATTTATATCTTTATATTACTCCTTATTACACAAACCTTAATTTTTACTCAAATTTGGTAATTTGAACATTTACAAAGAGTACAATTAAAAATTTTTATAATTACTGATTGTAGTAGAGTAGTAATGATTTGCAACTGTTGCCAGCAGCCAAAAGTTTAATACCCACTGATGGACTGCAAACTTTGCTGACGGATCTATGATTACAGAATCTGCACTACAATATTTCTTTTATATATTTTTTTAATTTTACAAAAACAACTAAGATTTAAATTATTTATTAATTTTTTATTATTATTATTCACTAAAAATTATTTATTTGCTATAATTTTACTTATTACACCTTCTTGATATAATTTTATCCAAGACTACTTTCGTTTATTCATTATAACTTTATTTTTATGATTTTATTTATTTTGACTTTATTTTTCATTATAACATTATTATTTGTTTAAAATTATTATTTATTTTTTTTTTTTTTTTTAAATATTAATGGTGAGGCCATGCCTTTAACTTTATTGAAATTTAATTGAAGT